TAGATTGTCAAAAAGCCTGTGTTTTTAGGATTATTAACAAAGTTTGTGTACTCAGACCAGTAATATTTGAGGTCACAAGTTTTGTCGTGGATATTTTGTGGGTCAGAAGATAAAAAGTCTGGGAACCACTGCTGTATTCAGACAAATTAAATTAAAGTGAATTGGAGGGCAGCAAAATCAGCTTTTGAGTAGAAGTCACTAGATCGATGTGGAAAAAGCTAAAAACCTGGTTATTTAAAGACAAATAATTGGATATATACATATAAAATTTTATTGGAAGATAATTTTACTTTGATAATTTTGCCTTAATTAAACAAAGTCTCCATCTACACCTGTGCTGGGGGGACAAATTAGTATAATTCTTCATGGACCACCATCAGTTCAGGGGCCTCAAATGGCCTCCGGGCCACATTTTTCAGACCCCTGTCTAAACCTATTAAACTCCTTTTTTTTTTCTTCTCCCACAGCAGTGACTGTCTGTCTGCCTCATCCAAGGTTTTGGATCTGAATTTATATTTATGCCCTCCCTGCTTCTAGGAAGCCTCTCAGCCGCTGGCTTTAAAAAACGAAGATGTCGGCAGAACTTGCTTCGACAAACCAGCCGTCAAGCAGCCGGCCTTCCGCGTCCACGTGGACGAGCCTGACGGCGCCTGCATCAAGAAGCAAGCGGCCGACCCGGCCAAAGCTCAACGCCCGGCGGGAGAGTCCCCCCTGACTGTTAGTAATGCGGTGACCCAGCTCCGGCAGCCCCTGGCCAACATCCCCGTCCCGGCGGGGATGGATGTCAGCTTTGGTGGGTTCGGTTTTCTCTGTCACTGGTTGTTTATTGATGAGCTAAATCCTGACCAAAGTGTTGGGCCTTTTTGCAACAGGGTTCCTGCAGATCCTTAAAAAGTCTTTAAAAGGCCTTAATTATCATTAAAAGGTCTTAAATTAATGTTCAGAAGTCTTAAAAATGTTAACACATTGTAAGCAGGGTGACTTTAATTCATCTCAAATATTAAAATATTTGGTAACATTTATTTATTTTTGAAATTTTACCATTCAGACATTCCCCTTTGACATCACTTCCTGTTGCTTCACATGCAAATATTTTAACTGTTCATCTGAGCAGTGTGACATTTGTTTTGTAATATGTTAATAATGTTGTCTTTCCAAAAATGCGTTCATATTTCTTACAAACATTGTTACATCACTGACACTGTAAGGTTTTATCTACAGCAAGCTGGGGTTGAGAMCCCACTGTGGGTCCTAAAACTCCAAATGTTGGGTCTTTAGAGGATTTCCAGAAGTTAAATTAAGTTTAAAACTSACAGCTAAGAAGGTTTTTTTGCTATATTTGCCACAAAAGCAGTTAGATATGAATAAAAGCAATTTGTCTATCAGCACTATTTGAATAATTCAACCAAAAATACTTTGATTTATGAGTTTCTGTCTCAATTTTTGTTTTTGTCATTTGTGTTTTTATTGTGAAATTGGATTTCACTTGGCATTAAAAAGTCTTAAATTGAACTTTCCTTAAACTGTAGGAACCCTGTGCAAAGTGTTTGAGTTTTCTTTTCTCGTTCAGATTCTCCCATGGACATGTCTGTGATCGAAGGAGAGGAAAAGCCTCTCACCGTAAACGAGGTTCCAGAATATTCTGCTGAAATCCACAAGTACCTGAGAGAGATGGAAGTGAGAACCTGCTTTTTTATTTTTATTTCCCTAAAATTAAAGTGTTTAACTTTTGGTTTCAAATTAAATGTGTTGTTTCTGCAGGTGAAAACCAGGCCTAAAGCGGCCTACATGAAGAAGCAACATGACATCACCAACAGCATGAGGGCCATCCTGGTCGACTGGCTGGTGGAGGTCGGAGAAGAGTACAAGCTCCAGAAYGAGACCCTGTACCTCGCCGTCAACTACATCGACCGCTTTTTGTCCTCCATGTCGGTCCTGAGGGGCAAACTTCAGCTCGTGGGGACTGCCGCCATGCTCCTGGCTTCGTACGGACCGGCCACATCGCCACTGTTTTTGCTCTTTTTATCCAGGGTGTGGTTTTTTCAATGACGGCTTTTCTTCCAACTGCAGGAAGTTTGAGGAGATCTACCCTCCAGAGGTGTCGGAGTTCGTCTACATCACGGACGACACCTACACCAAGAAGCAAGTGTTGAAAATGGAGCATTTGGTGCTGAAGGTGCTGTCCTTCGACATGGCCGCGCCCACGATAAACCAGTTCCTCACGCTGTACTTCTGCCACCACGCTGTGGCCAAACGGGTGGAGAGCCTGGCCATGGTGAGTGGAGCCGGTTCAGGTTGGACGATTGGAGTTCTGCGTGCGAGGTCTTAAAGGGATCCATGATTAGTTGTAACATTAAGACTTTATTTGATAAACATATATTTTAACTGTAAAATAAAGACTGTAAAAATACTGTAGGCTGTTTAGTTTTTATCATTTTTAAACTAGAGATTTAAAATATTACACGGACGGAGCCATTTTATTTACACACAAAAGCATTCTGGGTAGATGACGTGAATAGGTCCTCTGTGCGAGGCTGCTAGCGAGCTATATCCACCCTGAAGGTTAATCTTGGACAATATCTGATGATCGACTCTTTTAAATGAAACCAGAGAGCGTTGACAGAGAGGAGAAGGTAGAAATGACTCAGCCTGGAACTGAAAATATGGATGGAGGACAACAGAGCTGCTTCATGGAAGAAGAACCTCAGCTTAGCCTGTTAGCTTTAGCGTTAGCCCCGACGCTATCACCATATATATGTATTAGCTCAGTGCTACACATTCTCCTCTCATCACTGAGGTCCTCCATCCACATGAAAGAGAGGGGAACACAAAAATGACTCAGCCTGTAACTGAAAATATGGATGGAGGACCTCACTTTAGTTTGTTTGTGCTAGCACTGAGCTAATAAGGTAATATAGTGTCGACGCTAGCGCAAAGGCTAACACCATAAGCTGAACCCTGTGTGTGGCACTCGCTGTGTGTTCCCCTTTTTATTTTATTTTTTATTTAATTTAATTTTTTCCTGTCCTGTAGTACCTCGGGGAGCTGAGTTTGGTCGACTCAGATCCGTTCTTGAAATACCTGCCGTCACAGACAGCAGCTGCTGCCTACATCCTGGCCAACAACACAGTAACCGGAGCCTCATGGGTGTGTTTTTAGTCTCAAGGGGACAAATTTTTGACAATTGCATACTGTTGCATGCTGATGATGTTGTTTTTTTAAAAATGTTTTTTCCCACTCAGCCCAAGTCTCTAGTGGAGGAGACCGGTTATACAATTGAGGACCTGACGCCATGCATTGAAGATCTTCACCGAACATTCGTAAACGCTGCTGAACACGCCCAGCAGTCTATCCGAGAGAAATATAAGGGCTCCAAGTAAGTTCCTGACAGTTTATCCACCAGATAAAGATGTTTTTATTCTCGAGCAGTCTGGCTGAAAAGACTCTTGTCTTCCAGGTACCATGAAGTTTCCTGCATCAATGCACCCGCTGAGCTGCTGCTGAACTGAAGTCTTCATGATTAACATGCATGCGCACCTCTTTTATAGGCCTTTTTCTAATTTTTTGTTTTAATTTTTTGTGAATGATGTGCCACCTTTTTTTTTGTCTTGCTCTTTGTGGAGTAATGCTAGTTTTTATATCAGGGTTTTATTCTTTTTTTTTTTTTTTAAATGTTCAACAGATCTTGAATCCCAGTGTTTTGTGCCAGACAACCTGATGGCTAATCAAGCAGTTTTTATAGTCTGACTCTTTTAATCAGAAGTGTTGCAGAGGTTTTGCACAGCTGTAGAAATTTTGCTTTGATTTTTCAGCATCAAACCTGAAGACCTGTGAACGTACCAGGTTACTTGGGCTGCAAATGGCAGCCTGGGTTAATTAATTAATTGGCATGAAATGTCGATTTAAAGGCTTAGTGTGTTGTCATTACACTAAAGCCTTGGTACACAACAACTTCTCTCAGGYATCTTCAGCTCTGTAAAATATGGCACTTGTAAATAAAATCCATGTAAAGTTTAAATTGCTGCTGCTGTATCTTTAATGGACACAAGGGGGCAGCAGAGGACAAGGTTTGGTCTGAGAATATGGATGGTGGGTAACCAAAATCAGATTTTTAGTTTATTTTTTTTTTTTAGTAGTTAAATAATTTGGTGCAGGCTTTGTTAAATTGGGGTTTCTACTGCAAAAATGGAAGTTTTACAAAGCTGCTAGAATTGACACAGTGAGAGGCCTTTATAAACATTAGCACAGTTGAATTTTTTATATTATTATTTTTTAACAAATGACTTGGCATTTCTCATTTACTTCAGGGTTTCTGCAGATCCTTAGTCTTAAACGCATTGAATTCATCAATCAAAATAATTTAAAATTAGCCTTAAAATGTCTTAATCTTTCAGAAGTCTTAAAAGTATTAACACATTGTAAATAGGATGATTGTAATTTGTCTCAAACATTAAAATCGTTAAAATTAATATTCACATGCAGGAATTCCCATTTGACATCACTTCCTGTCATTTCACATGCAAATATCTCAACTGTCCATCTGAGCAATGTGAAATTTGTTTTGTAATGTGTTAATGCCTTTCCAAAAATGCATTCACTTTTCTTACAAAAACTGATGTCACGGGCAGTTTAAGGTCTCATCTGCAACACGTTGGGGTTAAGACCCCACGGTGGGTCCTAAAGCTCCAAATTTTGGCTTGTTTGAGGATTTCCAGGAATAAATTAAGTTTAAGACTAAATGTTTCTGCTATAGTTGATGAAAAAGCAGTTGGATTGGTGATGTAGTAATTTTTGTTTACTTCAACCAAAAATACTTTGATTCGTGAGTTTCTGCCAGTTTTTATTTTTTGTCATTTGTGTTTATGAAATTGGTCTTAAATTTAATTTCACTTATTAAAAAGTCTTAATTTTAACTTGCATTAAACTGTAGGAACCCTGTACTAATTTTTTTTTTCTGATGGCAGCCAATGGTGTTGAAGTCATCTCTCTCTCTCATAAAGTGGAGGCTGGCTCTGTGCAGCTGTCAGACAGGGAGGAGTGGGTTGAGCCCAGATGCAGAGAGGATTTTCATCTTGCAGGAATGGACCACTCTGCTGCTGCACGCTCCCCCTCAACAGGTCTGCTGTATCACTGAGGGCACACTTTCTTTGTGACTAACTGGGATTGACTGGATCTGTTTCAACATGGCCACACGGGTCGCACGCTTGGAATAATGGCTCCATCTCTGCGTGAACAAACCCAGAGGAGATCAAAGTGTGGCTGAAGAGCAGGGCAGGTATTTTTTTTTTCTAATGCCTGCGCCCAAAAAATTTCTGGTGGCGTCCACCTCGCTGCCCCTGTCTCTGGGCTGGGCTTGGAACCTGAGCCTGTACGTGGGGATGCTCTTTGGGCTCATGCTGCTCATGATGCTGCTCCTCTGGATGCTCTTCAAGCAGCTCAGGAACTCTGTGGGGAAGACGATGCTGCAGCCTGCTCGCTCCTTCAGACAGCCGGGCTCTGACCAGAGGTCGCAGCGTGTGTTGTGAGGAGGAACAATGARACAAGTCTTCCAATGACCAGGACTGGGACTTTCTGGAGAGCTTGAAGGTGCCTTTTGATGAATTGCTTTGGAAAAAGTCACAAATGCTTCTGTTGCTTCACAGAATAAATGTTGTTTATAAGAATCTAAGTGTTTTCTATAGTATATTCTGAAACAGGAAGTGCTTTCTAGTAATTAACTTTCTGTAGCAGCTGTTGTCTTTATGATAAATTTACCATGTCAGGCTCAAAACATCTTAAATGACTAAATGGAAGCACAGGCTGGGATTAAATCTGCATCCTGATTCATGGTGATTAAAGTGATGCATTCAGGAGGGCAATTTGCACTCCTCTCATCTTATTGGTCAAATGCCAGGAGGATATCTGCCAGTGAAATAAATTAAACGAGCGGTCACTGGCTTTTTCCAGCTCACATCCGTGCCAGAGGACCGACTAAATGAGTCCCRTGTGGGGAAACTGTTTCCAGCAACAAGTGTGAACAGGGTTTAAAGCTGTTTGCACAAGTGGCTGCTGAACTGCACACAGGTGGGGCAGTTGTTGGGAGCTGAAAACATCCAGAGTGGTTCAGGTAATTAGCTCCTAATGTTCTGTCCATTAATTTGAGGTAGAAGAGTTTTATCATCTGGCTGCTCACCCCGAGGGGAGGCATTAATTTCATTTTGTCATCTGATTTCCCAACAGCAGCATTATGATGCAAACATCACGGTTCATTAATGCCTCGGCACTGGTGACATTTCTCAAATACTGATGTGTTTATACTAAAGGTGCTTGTTGCAATAGGAAAAAAAATTGGAAGGATTTACTCTATTAAAATGTAATTCTGAAATGTAGACACTCAATGTAAACAAAGCACTTTTAGGTGCTTAAAAATGTGCTAATATGTCAAAATTGTCTTTCTGCAGCAGGAGCGGAGCTAGACTTTTCCTGCAAGGGGTGGCCAAGGTGTCTTTTRGGGGGGGGGCTCATGCAAATAAAGAAAAGCACTAATTTAAGATGGCTGCCAGAGCTAAATCTAAATTGTTTTAATCAGGGGTGTCAAACTCATTTTCATCGAGGGCCACACGAGGGTTGTGGTGGCCCTCRAAGGGCCACTTGTAATGAATTTTGACATTTCAAGTTTAACTTTGACTAAACAGTGTTTTAACATGTCCTCTTAAGAACTAAGAGTACGACTGACAAAATCTGAAATAAATACAGGAATATTATTTAGTTTATGGTTGATGCTGACTTTAAAGCAGCTTATTTTCAAACATTAATACTATACTATCCAACTAAATTGCTCAGTTTCTTAAAGCCAGCAGCTCAGGGGCAGGAATTTAATACATTTATTTTGTTGCATTTAATCGTAAATTTAAAGTTTACCATTGATATAAGAAACAATTTTCATGTTAAGTAAAAAAAATTGATTCATTTTTTTTACTTAACATGAAAATTTGGTCAAACATTTGGCCCTCGGGCCTTGTGTTTGACACGTGGTTTTAATACAGCTGTTTTAAGAAATATTGAGCTGAAATTTTCTGTAATCATACCTGAGAATGATTAAARAACCATTCTGAATGCCAGTCTCAGCTGATTGTTCAGCCATTTTAGACATGCAAAACTGAACGTTAGCCTAAAAGTAGCCGAAAACAATCTTTCTTAAATTCTAAATGCAAATCAAAAATTCAAGATGGCCACCACAGCTAACTTTAAAAATAATAATTCAGTCATTTTAAGACTTATTTAGATGAAATTTGTTGTGGAGTTGCTAAGAATGATTGCACGCTTATTGCAGATGCTAATTCCAAATTAAGCTAACCGCCAGTTTTACAAAGGGCTATTATTCAGCCATTATTAAACGTACACAGCTGAAAATGTATATAGTAGAGTAGTATCTAAATGCAAATACAAAATACTTGTCAAATAATGGCAAATAGTTGCACCTGGGATGGCCAATAAGTGGCCATGGGTGGCACTTGGCACCCCATCTGCCCCTCTGGCTCCGCCCCTGTTCTGTAGGTAAACAAATGCACGTGTAAGTTAGCATCTGATCATGACTGTGCAATGAGGAGTTTTAACTCATTAAGCACCCTTCAGTTCTAAGGTTTACTGATTTGTCTGAGGAAGTAAAATAAAATAGTCCATTAATCTTAACCTTTAAGGTTTACATATGCAGATGTGACAGATGGAGCTGTTTCTCATGGTATGAAGGTAATATATATATAT